AGCTCCCCACCCCCACCCCGCCCTGGGGGGGGGAGCTGCCACGGGGGAGGTGCCTCAGGGCGGGGCGGGGGGGTGGGAAGCTGCCGCAGGGCTCAGGGAGAGGGTGGAGTAGAGGTGAGCTGGGGTGGGGAGCTGCCGCGGGGGGGGGGTACCTCAGGGCGGAGGGGGAGGTGGGGAGCTGCCCCGGGGTGGGGGGAGCCTCAGGGTGGGGGGGGGCGGGGATCTGCCGCAGGGCTCGGGGAGGGGGAGGGCGCAAGGTGGAAGTTTCGTCTAGGGCGCGAAACATCCTTGCACCGGCCCTGAGCAGAGTCGGTCAGGTGGTGGGGTGAAATACGAGTTGTGACGATCCTTTTAAAGGAAAGTGCTGAGTTCTGTTTGCTGGGAGAGTTGTCTGGACAACTGCTGGATGCTCACAAGCATATCCAGGAATCCTGGAAGTTCTCTGAGTTTTAGCATTGATGATTCTTTATCTGAAAATTTATCATGAAAGTGTATTTACTATTTTCCCTTTAAAAAGTGTCCTGGAGCAGAACCAATGTTATGTAACTCCAGGGACCAATTGTGGCAAGACACCAAGCCACAGCTAGCAACCGTGCTAAAGAGCCAGAATGCAGGAGATGCCGCAAAATGGGATGTTTTGCAATAACATGCAGGTCACCCAGAGTAGCAGAAACAATCCAAGAGAAGATTTTTGCCGTGGGGAGCTTAATAAATGTAGGAACTTCGGGAGTTCTCTAGTTGCTGCTTAATGCAGGGCTCTTTGTGTTTATGTCCTTACACATGACACCAACCGCACACCACAAACTGCAACGATCATAAAGTTGAAACAAACACTTTGCCAACACCTCATAGTTTGATAATTATTTGGGAAATCTATCGATATCATCACCTAGTATGATGATCTATCTATCTATCTATCTATCTATCTATCTATCTATCTATCTATCTATCTATCTATCTATCTATCTATCTATCTATCTATCTATCTAATGAATTACAATTTAGTTGTAGCCATGTTGCTCCCAGGATATTAGAGAGACAGGGTGGGGGAAGTAATATCTTTTATTCGACCAACTTCTATCTCTGGGGCCTGGTCTGCTCTGCAACGTGGTGTTGGAATAGCTATGTCTGTCAGGGGTGTGAAAAACCCGCAGCCCCTAACTGTTGTGCTTTGCTGGCAAACCCTCCAGTGTAGATGAAGAAAAGGACGGCTGTCAGGATAGGTGTTGGTCTGTCAGATGTTGGTCCTGCTTTGAGCAGGGGGTTGGACTAGATGACCTCCTGAGGTCTCTTCCAACCCTGATATTCTGTGATTCTATGATAGCCATTTGGGGTGGGGAGGTTTTACCGTAGTGGCACATGCCTGACTGCACATGCTGTGTCTGCACTAGGCTGTTCTGCCAGCCTAGCTAAACCCATATAGGTGGATAAGTCACTCAGGCACTTGTGGAAATGTTACCCTTTGTGCCCTCCCACCCTTCCTCTGTCTTGTCTATTTAGATCGTGAGCTCTTTGAGGCCAGGACTGTCTCTAGCTGACTGTGTGTCTGTGTTCTCAGTCAGGAGCGCTAGCACTGCCGTACTACAAACAATGAACTGCTAGAGAGGTCCAGTGGCCTGAGTGCCAATGGGAATCTGGCTCCAGGGCAAACGAAAGACCCGGTCAAAAGCGATTTTAAAATCTGAATATTTTTATTTAGTAACTTTTTTTTTCCAAACAGAGAAAAAAATAGAAGAACATTCTCCCCCCCCGCAATAAAATCAGACTTTTCATGTGACGTCTTTCCAATGGATAAGAACACATCTTCCCTAATTATATATATATTATATAATTTTTTCCGTACAGTACGCAATTAACAGGCAAAAACGAACATCGATTTTTTTCTTTTTAAACCAAATCTGTTAATATCCAGATGAACTAAATGAGCAGTAGTGGGTTTGCTTTAACATTAAGCAGGTGTACGTATATCCCTGTTTGTCGGCAGGTCCATATACAAAGTACAGATATCAGTTTGTCATGCCACTAAGTCAGCTTTGTTGCTGCTGCTGGTAATCTTGGATTAAACTCCTTGTTAAAACATCACAGCTCACCCTGACTCCGAGGGGCTACCGACAGCTGAGAATAGTGATAGAAAAAGTTAGCAGTGTCTCAAGGTTTTATGTTTGATTATCATATAGAACTTAAATGGCAAAGTCCCCCTCTTTCTTTCACCTCCTCAAAGGAACGTGCTCTGTGCCATTCATAACGCAGCTTCCATCAGTGGCTGTGCAGATGGGTTTATCAAGGGACGAGTGACACTTCACCCCGAATTCAAGCCAGCTCAAAAGTGGGGGAAATGTTTGTAAAGTGAGATAAATCCATGCTCAGATCTGTATCTCAGGCCCCAGATTGCATGTCCATTAGACATTCTCAATGTAAAATTCTCACCTAGGTGCAGATTTCTTACTCTCTCATTTTGCTCAGATCTGGGGTTACTGTTCTCTCTTTGTAACAGTAGTAGTTTTCCCCTCTCACATTTTGTTATGAGCTGCCTCCTAGCTCTCGAGTTGGTCTGAGAACAAGTGAAAAATGTTGTGAAAGGGTTGCATTTTTTCCTGTGTTCTTTGGTCAACGTTTCAAATGGCAACAAAGACTTTTGTCAACATTTCAACTTCTGATGGCAATTTTTGTCAACATTTCATATTTCAATGAAAATCTCCATCAACATTTCAATGACTTTTTAATCAAAATTTCAACAGTTATTTCTGTCAAAATTCCAGATTTCAATTAAAATCTCCATTGAAAAGTCAGCATTTTTATCAAAATTTTGAAATTTTAATGGTTTTTTTGGCAACATTTCAGATATCAATGAACATTTCCATCTACACTGCAACAATGTTTTTCATCAAGAGTTCATAGTTCAACAAAATGTTGTCAGCATTTCAGTGAATGTTTTTGCCAACATTTCAACAGGTTTTTTGTGCCTGTTTCAAATTTGGATAACATTTCTCATTGAAATTTCAAAATTTTCGCCCTGGCTCGCCCGAATTTGTCCCTTGACCTTGATGGAGTCTTGTGCCCACTTCTCAACCCTCCAACAACAAAGTGCTCAGTAGTTCTCCCTAATAAAATAAAGATATATATATATATTTCATTTATAGAGATTTATATATTTCAATAGATATTTTATATGGAGAGCAGAGATGTTCTCCATCTTTCTATCTTTACATTACATCACTTTGGACACTGTTTCTGCAAGAAACCAGCCCAGTTCTACAACAATGTGGCTCCGAGAGGGAGCTGAAAACTACTTCCTGACCCCCGTTCTGCCTTAGCAATCACCAGTATCATTGGCCACTTAGCACATGGGCTCCATCAAGCTTGCACCCATCTATCTTCAAGTGGGATTGGCTTCTAAGGCATCAGAAAGGTAGAAACCATTGACCTCTAACCCTTCAGAATCTCAGAGGGGGCTGATTCCAGGTGGAAGGGTTACCTAGATAGGCTTGGGCTAAATAGATAACAGGGCAACAGCGTCTGATTGTATCACTCAACTCCGCCACCTAGGCACCTCCAATATACAGACAGCATGTGTCTGTGTCTACGGAGGCTCAAGAAATATGTGCAGCGGAGCTATGGGAAGCACCAAAATGTGGGGTCTCCTGGGCTTCTCAAGAACATCTTCTCCACATGCTTCCTCTGGCGTCGTGTGCTTGGAAACTCCCAAACTCGACACCAAAGTGGCTTCCACCACAAACCCCAGGCGAGCTTGAAATTTGGCCCCAGTTTGTGAACCAGGGCTGAGTCCTGGGGTGTCTGAACAAAACCCAAAGCCTCATTGCAGTACTTTTACACAGCTCTAATATGCACTAGTGAGGCAGAAGCATTATCTATGGGTCTAGATATATACAGTCTCTCTCCCTCTCTTATATATAATGTATATATTAATAAAGAACACAATATTTATACAGAGATATGTAACATTATAAAATCTGCCTAGATACACCTTAGTATATATACAAAGAGAGGTGCTATATCTCTATAGAAGTATTGTATGCTAGATTAATACGTGCTGTTAATCATAATGAATACAGCACCATTCCTGCATTTGATGGTGTTTTACCATAACACAGAAACACTATATATATAGTGTGTGTGTGTGTGTGTGTGTGTGTGGTGTTTCTGTGTCATTGTAAAGCATCTTATTACCTCTCTCTTTTTCACTCCTTACATTGTCTCCTCAATCCCTGTTCCTGTAAGAAACCAGTGTAGTTTCTCTGTGTGTGGATATGCATGCATTTGCATACATATATCTATGTGAATGCATGTATATGGGTGTGTGCATGCGTGTATATGTGTCAGTGTGTGTGTGTGAGTGTGGCTGCCTGTGCCGATGCTCTCCATTTTGCGTAGGAGCAGATGGGATTATTTAATTCCCTTTTGTTTATTTGATAGCAGTTTAAACAAAGCTAAGAAGCCCCCTGTTTTTGGAAGCATCTGAACATCCGTGACTGCATGTGAGCGTGTGCATGCACACGTGAGTACACTGGGAGATGGTGTGCTGTTGGTCAGAGTGCCAGGCTTGTTCCCATACGTTACGTCCCTACACACGGATTTTCTCCCTGCACTGTGGCGAGGCTGTTGGGATTAGCAGGACGATGGCAGACACACAGTACTTGTGGCGAGACATCCATGGTTGCAGACGCAGCAGAACACTATCCCAGCCCCCTGTCCCGTGGGCTGGACCCTTGCCTGGCAGAACAGCAGTGGCTCCAGTCTGATCCGATTCCAAGTGACGGAGACACCGTTCTGCTCCATCCCCCTCCTTCAGCAGATCCAGGCCAGCATGGGGTCCTGAGGACATGGGGGGCTCTGAGACATTTCCTTAGTCTGTGGAAATGAGAGTAGTGTCCCCAGGAGTCACGTGGATCAGGAGACTATCGGATACTCCTGCTTCCCTCTTTCCAAAGGAGTGCCTGATCGATGGATGGGAGCTGCGGACCCAAGCACACCAGAGCAGGTTAAAGGACACTATCCACCTCTGAACATCCAGGGACTGTCCCATGCCAGTTCTCATCCTATGGGGTGGAACATCCTCTGGATTCTTGCTGGTGCTGGGCTGCAGGCAGCGGCTTGTTGTTATTGTAGGGTTGCTGATGCGTTGGGCTGCACCTGGTGGCTTATTTTCATAGGGTTGCTTGTGAATGTGGGGCTGCTCGCTGTGGTTTGCTTGTGAGTGCCGGGGTGCATACAATGGACTGGGAGGGATAGCTCAGTGGCTTAAACATTTGCCTGCTAAGCCCAGGATTGTGAGTTTAATCCTTGAGGGGGCCACTTAGGGGTCTGGGCAAAAATCTGTCAGGGATGGTACTTGGTCCTGCTAGTGAAGGCAGGGGGCTGGACTTGATGACCTTTCAAGGTCCCTTCCAGCTCTATGAGATAAGTATATTTCCATTTATTGTAGGGTTGCTCGTCACTGCTGGGCGGGTAACCTTGCTTTTCTTTTAGAAGCAAACAGCGCTGCAAAAAGCATGCAGAGTGGAGTGGCCTTTTGCAAACAGTTCTAAGAACCAGGAAGGTCGGTCTCATTCGAGGCTTAGCAAACTGCCTCTCTTCACGCTGCGATTCCAGACAGCGAGAGACCTCGGTTTGAGCATCACGTGGGCTTGATTGTTTCCTTCCCTTTTGTTCCACGTGAGGAGAGCTTGAAAAGAAGAAGCCCTCGGAGCAACTCAACATCTGTGACAAAGCCAGACAGGAGCTCAGCTCAGGAGGCAGCTATGAGCATCACAGACACAGGGGCCTGGATTCTCCCTCACCCTGCCCTGGCAGGGGAAAGTGCAACTTGCAGTTACAGCCACTTTCAGACTCTTTTCGGCAGCCAGAGTGGGTGCAAAGGGGCATCAGCGTAAGTGAGACTTAGCCCCTAAGGGTGCATCTGAGCCAGTGTTGCCCATTCAGAACAAGGAGGGATACAGCATTGCCAGCCCTGAGCATTCAGGAATCATGAGGGCAGGTCCCTAAAATCATGAAGCTGGCTTACAACTCATGACATTGACTTTAAAGAAATCAATAAAAGTTGTGTCCTTCTGGCCACTGAGCCTCTAGGGATGCATTTGGGCTACTTTGACCTCCACCCACAAGGGCTAGAAAATTTCCTCTAAAACAAAACAATACAAAAGCTGAGATGCCTATATTATCCCAGGACTCCGGGAGCTGGGGCATTAAGAAAAGCACCAGCTATCATGAGAATCACCATAAAATCACACACGTTGGCAACGCTGGCAGAGTTGGGAACTCTTGCTGTCTTCTCTACCTCTCCACAGTGGGTCCTTCATCTCCGCCTCTAATACATCTTTAAAATATCAATGCTGCAAACGTCCAGATGTGAAGCCTAAATCCAATGGCTCCACCTTTAAAGGAGCTGTCGGCGTCACTTGTTGGCACAAGCCCTAGAATGCCAAGGCCATGCCAGGGGCAGGGCAATTGGGTCTCTCAAAGGGGGGTTATGGGAGATAGGAAATTCGGTAGGATCTGACCATGTGAGACCCAGGTTCCCCTGACAAGGCTAGTCTGGAGTTTTTGTAATCGGACTCCTCAAACATTTATACCAGAAAGACACTTTGGGGAGTTATGGGCCGGGGGAAGGGGGCGTAAATGTATCTTCGTATGGCACCTATGGGCTAGATTCTCCAATGTGCCAAAGTGGGCATAAAATGCTCTTATTTCTGATTGGGTGGTGCCACACCCACTTTGCCCAGGGGTAAGTGACTGTGTGAGAGGCTGGGCAATGGGGAGTCCGGTCCTGTCTGTTTGTTATAGCCTCGTGTAATTTACCTGGGCTGGATTCGCTCAGTTATGCTATCTGGCACCTCTGCACAGAGGGGCTGCAGATTACGCATGCACCCACTTTTAGCCCCCCCCCTCCCCCCCCCCGCCCAGTGTGAAGAGGACTTAACACGACTGAAAATCAGGCCCAGGGCTACAGCTGGTTTGGCCTGGATCTAGCCCTCTGGCTAAGTGTGTCATGTTCCCCTCCCATGACTGGTCCATATAAATATAAACTGAGTCTGCTCATACTAGCGCTTAAGGCAGTGACGCCTTTAACTGACTAGGGTGCGGCTGTGCCTTTGGTGTTGAAGATGCCAGGTCGATCCTACATCCTACTCAGGAGGGAGAGCTGCACATAGCTCACTGGAGTGGCATTTGCAGTTATGTGGCATGTGCATGGCATGAAGGCCCCAGCGTGGGGCTAGAGGTACTGTGTGGCTGGAGGTGTTGGAGTGTGCGCCAGCCTGTACAGGTGAAACTGATGTTCTCCTGACCTCGTCTTGTCATGAGAAATCTCATGGTGCTCTTCCTAAGAGTACCTCTGGTATCCTGATCAAACCTGAACTCTGGTCATACCCCCGTATCATGTCCGTAAGTTACAGTAGTCTTCTTTACTTTATATGCGAAGCTGTTATACGGTGCTGTTGTGCATTGTTGACTAGCTGCCGCGTTCCACTCCAGAGGTGGCTGCATTTCAGTGGTTGGTGACATTTTCCCTTGCCTGCCTCGCAGGACAGTTGTCAGACTTCGTTATAGAATGTTTGAAATCCTTGGAAGAAAGCTGCTAGAGAAGGGTAAGCCATTGTTTTAATGACCACACGAAGTCAAGGCCTCGATTTTATGCCGCTCGATGTGACCTGGTTTGTGAAGTAGAAAAGGCCTGTTCTGACTCTCTCAAGTAGAGGGCAGGGGCACACAGCAGCCAGGACTCAGAGATAGGAGAGAGAATACAGACACGTTTGGGGCAATGGGAAAAGTCTAGAACTTTTCTAAAAATCATCAAGGTTTTATAATGTTCTTTCTCAAACACCTCTTCCCTCTTCTACTTTTGCACTGTCTCTGCCTGTTCTCTCCCCCACCCCATGACATTGTCTTTCTTACCCAGGGGACTATTTCTCCACAGGAATTTTTTATAGTTGTTAAATGTAACTGTCAACCTATTAAAAAATTCCATGGAAATTCTTTAAGCATGAAAGAGCTTTCACAAAAATTCTCTTTTTCTTTCTCCTAAATGGAACGTAACCCTTAAAATTCTGCAAGACTCGGAATTGTAGAACCCAGGAAGTGCTACAAGGCTCCAGATTCTAGAATCCAGGAAGCTCTAACATTCTAAATGAAGTGATCCAGAGATTCTCCTCCCAGCCAGCAACCAAAGTTTCAGCACCACAAAGTAAAGAGACTTCAGATTCTAACTCAGGAAAAAGTTGGAGGTGGGGAGAGGAGGTTGGAGCTTAATCACAGCCTAACTTCAGACCCGATGATGAATTTGTGATGCTCTCTGTTTCTTTTCCAAACAATTCTATTTTCATCCCCCGACAGACAGTGGGCCAGACACGCAGCTGGTGCAGACTGGCTTGGCTCTACCTGGATGGCGCTACACCTGCTTTACAGCACCTGAGAGCCTGACCCAGTGGTTGATTTGGCAGTCGAGAGATAGCAGCGAGGTCCCAATCACGTGTAGTCATTTGCGTAGACTGTCAGCTCCTTGGGGCAGAGATCATCTCTTTGTTCCGTGTTTGAACAGTGCTTAGCTCGATGGGGTCCTGGTCCATGTCTACCACAGTACAGAATAATAATTTAAAATCCCATGGCACGTGTTGTACTAATAGGTGCATCAGCCTCAGAATTTTGGCCAGATCCCACCTTGGGTAATGACATTTGGCCATCCTAAATTCCCCCGCCATAACTGGATAAAAAATCCTTCTTCACTTCCTGCCTTAAACTGCTGGGCAGCGTGGCCATGCCGCTGTTAAACGGCTGCCGAGTGCCGGCCCAGAGGTGGCTGCATTTCACGGTGAGTGAAATGATCTCGGTTTGTAATTGTTCTGGAAAACTGGCGGAGCTCTTTGGGCCGTTGGTTGAAAGAAAGCGCTCAGATGCCAGCTGGCCTGATGGCAGTGCCCTGTCTCCTACTGCAGGGGAGAGACAGGCCATTAATGACCTTTTTCATCAGTCCTGATGGGAAAATGAAGGGAAGCAGCTAGGTTTACATCAAGGCTACAGTGCTGGGAAAGAACCCAGGTGAAGGCGGAATCGAGCCTGGAGGGGCCCCCTGCGTAGTGGGATGAAGCTGGAAAAGGAAGCTGATTGCCAATCACAATGAAGGCCGGATTGCTGATTACAATAGAAATCTTTGCTCCCAGGTGGGGCGCCGGCTCCACTACATAGGAGCCCATGGAGCTGTCTTCAGAGCAGTTCATTGTGTGTAGAATGTGCCTGAACTCTGGGCTGCCCACTGCGGCGTAGGGCAAAGCTCCCGCCTCCCGAAGCAGGGGCAGGCGCAGGCCTGCTGGAAGGCAGCACCGCGGACGGGGAGCGTGTCCAGTGATATTTAAAGTGGGAAAGGCACCAGCCTAGGCTGCAGGAGACCTGACGTCTATCCCTGGCTCTGCCACTGGCGTGACGTATGACCTTGACCCTGTCATTTTTCCTCTCTTTGTCTATGTAAATTGCTGGCTCTTGGGGCAGGGACTGTCTCTCACTATGGGTACGTACAGCACGTAGCAGATGGGGCCTATAGATGCTAACGTAATGCTAATAATAAAAGCTCTTTGTGCTGGACTGAGGCTGGACATCATTTACCAGCATCTGTAACCACAGCTCTGCTGGGATGCTACAGGGCGAGCTAATATTGCAGCAGGAGGATGCACGTGGTGCGCACGCCTGTATCTAGCCAGCATTCCCTTCCAGGACTGAAGAGCCCAGGCCAGAATTCAGAGAGACCCTGACATAGGCTGAGAGCTGAGGAGCCAGAGAGAACCATTGGGTCTCTCTGTGTCCTGCATCCTCCAAAAAGAATCTCCCTTTAAAGTCATCACGGTGTTCCTGGTAGGTGTGAATTTGAATAAGGTCCGTGACCCCTGCAGGGGCAGCTTCTGCAGGCCTCCCTCCCCGCTCTGGGTATTGCGACGTGGACCACACGGTCGTTCCGCCACTATAGTATGGTGTGTCCGCCTCTGTGGAGAGGTGGATGCACCAAACCTGAGTAGCGCTGCGACTGCCCGGAATGGGGAGTCAGCCCTCGCCCCCAGGGACAGGAGCTGCTGTTCCGGAGTGAATGCGGGCCAGGCTCGTTCTCAACGCCCCCGCAACCAAGCCGTGACTATGGGTTTCCCCCCGCCATCTCCACCATGGAATTAACTAAAAATTTGCACGGCAAAGTCGTAGCCTTAATCCAGCCCCCTCCCTTCTCCATCAGGAGATGCTCTCTCTGGTCCCCTAGACCAATATCTAGCAATATCTCAGGCATGTTGTAATTATCCTCATTGTCTAAAGGGATAGGAATGGATGTGAAACTGACATTCATAAGTTACATGGTTATAAACAAACAAACAATTTTTTTCTGCATTCAGGGAATATCAGCGCTGAAACTGACTGGTAGCTAGTTCAGGGCATAATAATTGTACTTTAATATCCCTGATGGGAAAAATTCTGTATGGTTTTGTAGGGATGAAACCAACACTGAGCTCTAGAAACAGAACAGGGGGAGAGAGAATTTAATGGATAATCTAGGGTGACCAGACAGCAAATGTGAAAAATCGGGACAGGAGGTGGGGGGTAATAGGAGCCTATATAAGAAAAAGACCTAAAAATTGGGACTGTCCCTATAAAATCGGGACACCTGGTCACCCTAAAATAATCTGAGCCTGCCTGTGGGTTTTTTGAACCAACCCAGAGATCATAGCAGGGATAATCTATCAGACTGTGGTGTTTTCTGTGGGACATTTCCATCATGTGATCAAATCGTTGCTGGTATTTTGCAAAGGGAAATAGCAGAACAACTCTGATATTCAGCTTTGGAAAGTGCCTCTGTAGCAGTTATTCACTAGGGATTTTGTAATGCACAATGTGTGCCATGTTAAAAGCAATGTCAAAATAGCTCTGAACTGTTACTGGCTGCTGTATAAATATTAAGCTTTGTTTTTCTGTTTTTAAAAAAAACCAAACTCTTAACTCATTAAAAAGAACCCTCTGTGGAAGCTATTACCATCACTCCAGTTAATAAACTAAACTAGTCTGTCGGCATTTTTACACGATACCATGACTCTAGGGAGACAGAGAATTAAACATTGTTTCACTTCGTTTTCACATAGCAGAGAACAAATCAGCCAACACCTAGTTCCCTGAATAGTCCTCTGCCTTTTAAAAAGTTAGAAGATCTATTCTGTTCAATCTAGAGCTTCTCCACTGTGTATGTTTGTCAGTGTATATTTGATTAATTTTTTTTCTTTTTAAAACTATCATAAAAAACCCCTCCAAAACCCTTAAATGAAAGAAACTGACCCATGAGCAAACTGTTACGGGGACCATGTGGCAGGAACAAAATCAATTTCAAATGGCACCCTAAACACAGACACAGTACTGCAGATCAGTGTATAATGTCCCCGCTCAGTTCCCAGACTTCCAAGACCCGGCTGTGAACCATTGATCCTTGAAATGTGTGACAAAGCTCGGATGCGATAGCTGGCAGATCAGAGAGCCTAGGATGAAGTGGGATCAAACATTTCATTAACACCGATCAAGTTTCCCATAGCCTCAGCTTCTGGATTCAGCATTTCTGATGTCAGTAATTTACAGTAATAAAGAACGAGAAAACAGCAGGTCTATTTGGGACAGTGGAGGTAAGGCTGGGTCTAAGCTGCATGCCTGTACCTGGGGCTCGGGTACAAAGAAGAGGTAAGTGTCCACCTTCATTTTAACTTCACTGCGGTATTGCTGGTTTCCAGCTTCAATGCAGGGGATTCATACTGGCTGGTGTGTCTGTCTCCGCTGCTCTCTTCTGGATGGAATCAGCACCCATCATAGACCCTGTATTGCTAAGAGTTGATGAGGATTCTCCTTGAGCGCAGGCAGCAGTGGCCGGGAGCGACTATCGCCGGGCGTTCCCAAGCCTGCAGCATGGTGATAACAGCAGTGAAATCCAAGCCAGATTTCTGACAGTGTTATAACCATTGAGTGGACAAGCTGATGATGCAAAAACTGCGCCTGGTTCTGGTTGAAGTGCAACTTCCCTCAGGTGCGATGAAAATCCCCAGAGAGGTCTGAGCAAGGAACCCGGGGTGATGAGCACTGGATGCTGGCGCTGCCTGACAGCAGGGACACAGACCTAGTGTGCATTCTCTCTAATTGCTGGCTCTGAGGTCTGTGTGTGGCTCTGCCAGCCCTGGGTCCAGCTATCCCTGGTGCTGAGAAGCAAGCAAAGGGGATTAATCTCCTGTCATGACCCTATACTGTGTGCACAACATCCCAGGAAAATAGACCAGCACCCTGGACCACATGAAGGCCCGTGGACAGCAGAAGGTGTTTTGAGCTGGAACCATTTCTCTTTTCAAAGCCTCATGCTGCCCTCTCTTCATTCCCATGGAGACAGTTTGGGGGGAGGGGTCTCAGAGATCAATTGTTTCTGTTGGCAAAATCCTACCCCCAATCTCCCCACAGCAAATTTAAACAGAAACGTTTTTTCCCCCACAGGGAGCTGGTGGAACTCACTGCCACAAGGGTCATAGAGGCCAGGAGCTTAGCAGTTTTTGCAAAAGGACTGGGCCTTTTTTCTGTGTAACAAGAAGATCCAGAGTTGGAAGACTAAGGAGCTAAGAAAACAACCAAGAGCTTTGGAAGGGGCTATCCACCCATCTGCTTCAGGGCCAGTGGAGGTCAGGAGGAAACTTCCCCACGGACAGCTTATTCCATTGATACAGAGTTTCAGCCTCTGAGGACGCTGGTGCTGGCCTGTAGGAGACAGGCTCCTGGGCTAGATGGGTCCTTGGTTGGATCCAGTGTGGCCATTGCTATGTTCCTAGGTCCTGGGCAGGGGAGGGAGGTGCCAGCTTCTTTTGGGGCCACCTGGCACCGTCTCTGTCTTTTTCTGGCAGGTTAGCTGGGCATTAGGCTTGAGTCTGCGTGGCGAGGACGGGGTCAGTTCGAAGGCAGAGTTACCCCCCCACACCCTACAGAATCTGTGTTCTGTGGTGGGAGGATGCAGTCCTCCTGGCTGGTGACCAGCTGTCCCCCAGGAGGCCCTGGTGCTCCCAGTCATGTTGCCATCACCACGGTACTGAAAAGGAGGGATTGGAAAATGCTTTGGCACGGGGGAAGGAAGAGTTGCAACCCAGCTGCTCCCTTGGGCCCAGGGGCTCCGGACCTAGTGAGGGCAGGAGTGGCACTTTTGGGGGAACTAAAGCTGCCATCCTCCGGTGCATTCCTAAAAAGAGTGGAGTACTGGAGTTGCCCCGTGAGACATGGAAGGAAAGGAAAGGGGGGAAAAATGAATGAAAGAAGGAAGGAGAGGCAAAGAAAGAAAGAAAGAAAAAAGAGACCAGGGGAAACAACCAGCTAAAAAGAAAGGCTGAAGTGATTCTCCTTGGAGCTCAGTGTGGGGTAGGCAGGATCAGACGTTGCTGATGCGGACGCTCAGGGGGCTGCCCCCCCGCTCTGATTTCTCTCGCAAGGTCTCCTCCAGCTTCAGCTTCTCAGGGTCCCCGAACCGCACCGTTTCGTGGACGCAGCACAGGGGCGACACCTTGACCACCTGGTCAAACAGGCTGAAGTCGGCCACGTACTTGCCGCTGGCCGAGAGGGAGATGACCGGGCTGAACTCATAGCCCCACAGGATCTCCTCAGGCAGGTACGAGGTGCGCACCTGGCAGGTGGCACTGGTTGACTCCACCGTGCCACTGAGGATCACCACCAGCTCGAAGTCTCCTTCGCCCGTGCGCAGGGCTGTGTCCCGCAAGGGACTGGAGTCGTCCACCACATGGTAGAAGGTGAGGGGTAGGATGAGGAAGGGGCTGTCGGAAGACGTGTCCACCTGGAAGTCCACGTTGACCTGGTTGAGCCGGACGCAGTCCCCTTCCTTGGTGAGGTAGGTGTTGAGCAGCTTGCCGGTCACCTGGCAGCCAATCAGCAGGCTCTTGCGCATGTTGGCCACCCGGATCATCAGGCAGGTCTTGCCGTTGTGTTGGGCTACCACCGCGTTCTGGCTGAACTTGATGGTCTCCGCTCTCTTCTTGGGACGGGCGATCTTGGCCAGGAAAGTGCCGGTGATGAAGATCTCCATGATGGTGGTGAGAACCAGCTGGCTGATGAGCAGCACAATGGCCAAGGGGCATTCCTCGCTAATGTAGCGGAAGCCATAGCCAATGGTGGTCTGGGACTCCAGGGAGAAGAGGAACGCTCCAGTCAGTGTGTGTACCTGCATGACACACGGGGTGTGGTTGGCCGGGGGGTCGAACTCCAGTAGGTCCCCATGCAACAAGGCCACCAGGTACCAGATCACCCCGAAGATGAACCAGGTGCCGGCAAAGGTGGCGGAGAAGAGCAACAGCTTGTAGCGCCACTGCATGTCAATGAAGGTGGTCCACAGGTCCTTGAGATAGAGGAACCGCTTGTCAGCGATGTGCTCCATCCGCACGTTGCTCCGGCCGTCCTTGGTCATCACGCGTCGCTTGCGCAGGCCGGAGCCGATGAGGGGGCGGCTGTCGGTCTGGGTGGTCTGGCTGTAATACACCTTAGTGGCAGAAGTCATCTGGAAGAGAGGGCAAAAGGGATGGGACATGGTTAGGAGCCACCTCAGGGTGGGCTGAGATCAGACTCAAACGAGGGCCGTTGGGACTGAGCGTGGACAGCAGCTGGATGAGACAGACAGACAGGCAGACAGCCTGTATGCGGATTGTTGGGTTGGATAATGTGTGACTAAGTAATTTATTATTAAAGCTAATGAATGTTTGCCACTTTAGCCAACTGTACGGAAGGGAGACAAGGGGCGGTTTCTATTCGCTGTTACCTCTAGGAATGTTAAATGTTTCATTCAGTGATCACCGTGGGATCTTTGTGATTGAGATCCTGCCCTCTATCTCCACCAGGGGCACTGTAGTGTGTTTATTAGCCCTTCTGATTCCTGGGCTCACTATCAGTCTTTCTCCCCCGCACACTCCAAATACTGGAGAAGCCTGCAAGAGAAAATTGCAAATTAACCACAAGGGGGCAGGATTCTATTAGTTTTAATAATAAATTACTTAGTGATACATTCTCTTTTAGATTCTACACTGTTTCTGGGCAGGGACAGTCTGTACAGCTCCTAGCGCAACGAGAATCCAGTCCTTCTTCTTCTTCTTCTTCTTCTTCTTCTTCTTCTTCAACAACCCTACCAGTTCTTCGTAGGTTTGCTAGAACTGAAGTGACTTACCCTGATAAACTCAATGCGCAGACCTCTTTCGTTCCCACTGTGTAGTGTCATGAAACCAAATGTGCCAGCTTTTCAAATGGGGAATGACACAGGGATTAAATACCCAGGCACGGATGTGATCTCCTCAAATTCATTGTCAGCTGTTAAATGCTGTAATTGGAAGCAGATGGGCCATGACTGTAATTCTACAAGGCCGGTGGGCGAAACAGAAAGTCAGCGTCTCTTTCAGTAGTGTCGGATCTAATCTGCCGGTCAGACCGACAAACCGAACAATCCAGATACCTACCTGACAGAGAGAGGGAATCCTGCCCCATTGAAGTCAATGGTAAAACTCCTGCTGACTTCACTAGGGCCAGCATGTCACCCAAAGGGTCCGTCTACACTGCAAAGAAAAACCCGCCACACTGAGTCTCGGAGCCTGGGTCAATTGACTCAGGCTAGTCGGGCTAAAAACGGCAGCGCAGATGTTGGGGCTGGGGCTGGAGCCTGGGCTCTGAAACCTGGCCGGGGTCAGGGTCCCAGAACCCAGGCTCCAGCCCCAACGTCTATTTATAGCCCCTCAAACCCAAGTCATTTGACCCTGCTCTGAGACGTGATGCTGTGTGGCTTTTATTGCAGTGTAGACGAACCCGCAGACACTGTCTGTCTCTTGCCATATGAATCTATCTAGCTATCGAACGATTGTCATTTATACCTCTCTCTTTTTCTCTCTCTTCATACACTCATCTCTTTCGATTGCTATCTATCCCCATACACCCCCTCTATCTATCTATCTATCTATCTATCTATCTATCTATCTATCTATCTATCTATCTATCTATCTATCTATCTATCTATCTATCATTGAAGCCTTCCCCTGTTTTGCCAACAGGACCCCCTCAAGGTGTGTGTGTTGAGGTTAAGGGTGTGGCGCTGCAAAGTATCCTCGGGTGGAATTAATTTTTCCACAGTCTGGTGCAGGAGGGGGCTGGGCATATGTGCAGTGGACTTTCCCCATCCTCCTCCCTCCCCCCACCCACCGCACACAGCCTACTCCTGCCTGACACATGGCTTTCTGGTCCAGGAAAGGATGTAGGGGTTGCGGCTGGGGAGGGATGGAAGTGGCTGATCATCCCTTTCAAGATGGGAAGGAAGCCAGATATGAATCTCCTTCTCTGCCAGTACATGCCTGTGCAACCTGAGCTAATGGGCATCTCCATTAGCCATTAGCAGTAAAGGGCCTATGATGCACATCCGGGCAGTTCTGTACAGTACATGTGAATCCCTGAGAGCACTGGGCTGCAGGTGGAGATGACGACGGAAGAGGCAACACCAGGAGAGGGCACACGGGGTGGCAGAGCTAATCCCCGTGACAGCCAGCAGGAGGCGCAGCTGTGGTGAGTGGACCCCATGACAGACCCCAGGACCAGCCTTCCTCTACCATTTAATTCCTAGTCTTCCCCCCTACACGTTTTATTTGTCGCTCCTATCAGTTCTGCTCCAGCGTACTAGCAACAAGGGAGGCAGGAGGTCACCAGATGCTTTGATGGTGAGTTACCTTGGCCTCTTTCTGAGCAGGGGCTTAGAGTGCCACCTGTTTAGCTTGTCAAAAAGAAGACCGAAAGGCGACTTGATTACTGTGTATCTAGGGGGAGGGGATAGCTCCGTGGTTTGAGTATTGGCTTTCTAAACCCAGGGCTGTGAGTTCAATCCTTGAGGGGGCTATTTAGGGAACTGGGGTAAAAATCTGTCTGGGGACTGGGCCTACCTTGACCTCCTAAGGTCCCTTCCAACCCTGATATTCTATGATTCACAGGGAGAAAAATCTCAGGTACTAAAAGGCTCTTTCATCTCGCAGAGCATGATACGAGCCAATAAGCTGACACCAGACAAATTCAAATTAGAAATAAGGTACATGGTTTTTAGCAGTGATGGGTAACGAAGCTCTGGAACAAGAGCAGTGATGGGTTCTCCATCTCTTGGTCTTCAGGTCAAGCCTGGCTGCCTTTCTGGAAGATGTGCCTGAGCCAAACACAAGTTCCTGGGCTTAGCTCAGGGGTAACAGGTGAAACGTAAGGACTGTGGGATACAGGCAATCACAGGGGACAATCTAATGGTACCTTAAACGCTGTGAATTCACGAAGGGCTAGGGAAAAAATCAGGTCATTCTTGTGTCCCGGTCCCTTCAATAATAATAATAGATACTCCAAACCTCCTTTCCCCATTTTCCCCAGAAAGTGTCACTCTAACCCCACCACTGCCCATGATACTGTACATGGTATTGTTCTTATTGGTTAACTAGGCAGTGTAGAAAGATCACCACGGATAAGTAGATCTTCGGCCTGATAGTGATTGACCCACACGTCAGTGGCCCAACCATAGCTGTGAAAGCTCTCACCGGACACGGATTTCCTACCCCACTATCAGCTGGGCACTTTAGCTGATATGTTGGCGTTGTTATTATTATAGCTGGAGCCCAGGGCTCTGTGGTGCTGGGTGTTGTAGAGGCACAGAGACAGTCCCTGCCCCAAAGCATTTCAGACAAGGCGTGGGAGAGGAGGTGACTTGTCCTAGATCTCCTGATTCCCAGTCTAGCCCACTATTCAGCAGATCTCATGAGTAGCTGCCCTAAGACTTTACCCTGAGCCTCCTTTAACTTAGACTGGCATAAGGAAGGCTTTGCCCTGGTCCTGTATCTCAAGTCTCCACGAGGTTGTTCGCCAGCCGATGAGCTCTCCTTTTGCAGCGAATTCCCAGGGATAACATAGAGCAGTACCTGCAGTACACAGTGCTGAACAGGAGGGGGAGCTCAGGGAGTTAGGATGAGAAGGAGGGTGATGGTGCAGCTTTTACAGTAAGGGGGAGAGAAAAGGACCATGTGACCCTTCTGACCCCTGCTCACTTTACTCACAGCACAACACCTGTAGTGGGATAATGCTGGCTGCAGACCAGGCCAGCAGGGGAGGGTAACTCTGATCCTACCTCCGTCTAGTATGTAGCCGGCCCTCATTACCCAGCGCGGCAGTGCTGTGATCCCCATTGTCCCCAGAGCCTCCAGTGGGAGTTTGGCACCTAAATATCCTTGTGGGTCAAGCCTGGAGTGACTTGCCCCAGGTCATCCAGGAATTCTGTGGCAGAGCAGGGAACTGAGCCCAGGCCACCAGCCAGCTCTCTAACCGCTGGCCCATCCTGCCTCTTAGGGTGAGGCTGTCCCACTTCTCAGCTGTCTCTCCCACCCTGGTTATGCAGCCCACACCGCACAGCCGTCAGCGGGGAACCGACGCAGTAGCACCCCCAGTGCGTTATGCAGTTAGACGAGCCCCTCCCAGCCAGCGGACGCCTCTCAGGGCTTGAGTCCCACCAGGGCGGCTAGTTTCTAACTCGTATATGTACACACCACAGTCAGCAGATGGACGGGAACTCCGACTCCTGGAGCTGCATAAGCACCGGCCCCGACCCTGATGGAGGAACCAGCTGTGGGTGGCTGCCTGTTAGAGGTGACCCCAGTCCAATTCCCAGGTTGTCAAGCAAGGCCGTCTACCCTTAGGGAGGCCCCCTAACGGGTGATATGACTGAACACGCTACGGAGCTGATCCGAAGCTCTTTGAAGTCAATTTGAGTCTTTCCACTGACTTCAGCGTGCTGTGGATCGGGCCCTGAGCCAGAAGGACTTGCACGGCGATTAAACACCCCCCGTGAGTATCAGGAGGGGGCATTTGGCAGCCGTTTCAGTTAGGCTTAGTGTGACTAGATAGCAAGTGTGCACCCAGAGTTACCTGGACTCACAGGGCCTCTTCGCCACTTAAGCGCTAGCAGTTTAAGTGGTCACCAAGCTACGCTGTGAGCATTCTCAAGCAAAAGGCTGCAGCTTTATAACCCTTCCCCCATATTGGTGAGTCCAGCGCAGCACCCAGGCCCTGCCTTTTTCCACGCTCAATTCGGCACGCTCTGAACTCCCCCCACCCCCGTGGAAGTTTGTCAGGGAGGTTTCTTTGCAGGAAAAGCAGCTGGTTGGCGGGGAAGAGCTGACAGATTCCCAGCCGGGGCTCGATGCCATTTTGCTGGCACGGAAATTTGCAGTGAAAAGAAAATGTTTTGCTTTTTTCTCTCGCCCCCCACCCCCGCTAATCCACATCAATGTTCATTTCCTGCTGGTGGGGAGAGTTGCTTGGCAAAACTCTAACCCGCCTGTGTCCGGTTCCGTGGACTGGGCAGAGGTTATTCCAGCCACGGAAATCCACGTGACCGCTTGTAATTGACATGATCGCTGGGAGCCATGTGAACAGCACGACCTGGGTGGTCAGTGGAAGTGACCCATAAAACAGGATGGATGTGATGTGATATAGAGGCAATTCCATCCCTATTATCAGTCCGTAGAACTCAGGGGGTTATACCAGGGCTTTAATTTGGCCCATTGAACCTTTCATCCCTAAGCTGCCAGTTCAAACCCAAGTTTCTGGATCACGATAAGCCACTCAAACTGATTTAACAGCGTCCACACAAGGGGCTTAAACTAAATCAGCTTTGAAACTACAGCTTGGTTGGCAGAAGATTTTTTTCCCCTATGAAAATTCCAGGTTTTCATTGAAAAGCAAAAAAGAAACAAAACAAAACAAAACCACGCTGCAATTTTTTTCAGATTTCAGCCCTGGAAAACTGATTAAAAAAAAAAATTCTATGAAAACAGGAATATTTTGGTACAAACACATGGTAACACTCCAAGAAGTTTACAGTCTAAGACAAGGCAAAACAGGTGGGCACAACAAGGAAGTGGCTGGAGAGAGG